GCACAGAAAACATAATTTACCTGCTAAATACATTAACTAAACAAATGACTATTCAAATATGAGCTGTATAACTTTCATTAAGTCTGGCTTTCTTCCTCACAGAGGAAAGGGATCGCACAGAATACCCAATTACTTCTCAGCGGTTTACATCCCAATCCGTCTGCATTATTCGTGACATATTAATCTGCTTAGCAAGAGCTTACTGCAGGAAAACTGTACGCATTTTGCTGAGCTTGCAGAATGAAAGTTCCAGAGATAATAACCTGCAACTCCAAACTGCAGTTAGAGAAAAAAGTTTTAATTAACAGGGACAGCTGTGGCTCTGTGAAAGCTGATCTGAGAGCCCACACAGAGGGGTGCTGGGCAGGGGCCTCTGCTCCTCCCACAGCACATGGAGGTACCACCACACCCAAAACAGGAGGTTATGTTGATTTCCTATACGCCACAAATAGATGTTATGATGTATTTCCAAGTTTTGCCAACTTTCTCCACCACTAAAACTCCACCTTCTGTTCCTTACGTAGCCACTGCCCAGGAATGCTCCCGCCGTTCCTTGTATTCTCATCAGGTCTGGCCTGACCTGCAGCCTGTAACCTTGAGGACACAGACCATTCCCCAGCTCTGCACCACCACGAAACCTGCTTTTGCACCACCATCCATATTTCTGCCATCTGCAGCCCACGCAGGGCTGGTTTGGTCCCCACCACGCTCACCTGGTACAGGCAGTGTTTGGACTTCACCTCACCATCACTCAGTTCACCTCTTCCACTTTCCAAGTGACTCAGTGCCATAAGTACTGCTTTTTCTCTCATCTTGCTGTTCTTCTCTTCTAGAAACACCTTCTATATTTTACATTATCAGTTCCTCAAGCTTATTTAGACCTTTAGCCTTCGTGGGTCTTCTACTCCTCCAGCAGCTGTAACTTCTCACCTGCCCCATTTTCCCCTTCTGATCTCAGTGTGGTTCTCGACTCCCTCTTCCTCAAAAATCCCCCTTTACTCTATTAATCTCAAGCACAGGTCTGACCTCTGAACCCATCCTGCACCCCCCAGCTTCTCCTCCCAGTGCCCCAGATCCCTCTATAAGCTCTACCCTACAGTAACCACCATTTCCAACAATCACACTTTCTTTACTGCATAGTTATTCTCTTTTCTAGGAGTTCCTACACAAGTGTTCCAATTCTACAACTTAACTGCACAAACATAAATCGGTTCCCAAACACCATTCTATCTCTGCTCATTGCAGCTAAAAGCTCTCCCCCCTTCCTTACACTCTTCTCTCTACACATGTTAAGTTTTGCCAAGAAGAAAATAAAACCTTTCACTGCCTATCAGTTTGAGTTCCATTCTTCTACCATCCTTTGCAGTCGTGGATTCAGATTTTTTTAATTGCTCCCCATTTGTCTCACCATAATCAGTAACGCAGCACATCTGTGCTGTAATATGCCTGCGTGTGTGTTCACAAATCGGATTACCAAAACGCAAAAGTTGCCGTGCCAAAATGACAGCACAAATGCAATCTTAAAAACGTAATTCTCACAAGTACCCATGAAAATCAGTTACTTGAGTACAAGAATACAATGTGCCATCCACACAGACGTTCATCTCCGTAAATACCGCACTGCCTACAAACACCTGACTACATCTCCTCTGGTTTCCAGCGCACATAGCTGCCACAGTTCTTTCTTGTGTATTTTTTAGGCAGAATCGAGTAATTAAATCTGCACTGTGCCCTCTCCCCTCAGTGCCAATTAGTCCCAGCATTACCCTGGAGCTGTGACGTAGCGAACAAAAATATCCTCAATTAAATACCTGCAGAACTCAGGGCGGTCACTTTCATACTCCATACATTCATACTCCAGCAAAAGCTATGTTTGTTTCAGGAAGGACTGCGTTACTTAACAACAGAACTATGGCTCCTTTAGGTGGATTCATAGGACGCTCCTTTAGGTGGATTCATAGCACTCTGACCAACCTTGCACTCATCAGAACCTTGCAACATTCAAATCCTGGGCAGGAAGGACACAGAAGTGGGGATACTAAAGGAAGGTGCAACAAGAAGCACTGCAGGAGAAGGAAAACTGCCAATGCAAAAAAGGCTCCTGGAAGAAGTTAATTATGCCATGGCAAACGTGCGTACTTATTTACTGATATTTCACAGGTTATTGAGCACACAGAAAGAATGCTGAAGAAAGGCCACCACAAGTAAATGGAATTAATCATTCCCTGTTGGTGTTTACTTACTATTTGCTTTCACTTCCCCAAGGAAGATGGTGGGTGGCACATTCTCCCTTTCAACAGGCCAGGTTTTTACACTTAAACGTGTTGCAGTTTTCTCCGCTTGTTGTTTAAGTGTTTTGCAGCTCTCAGCTGCCCCACCATCCTGAGCCTAGCTCAGAGAAGCCCCCCAGCCATTCCAAACTGATCTCTCCTGTTATGGAGAAGGGGGACCCTTCCCCTGCAGTGACCCTCAGCACAACAGAATCCTCAGCTTAAAACAGCCCCTCTTGAAATGCTGCCAACAATACTCAGATTCCTATTTTAGACATCAGACCACCTGGAAATTCTGGGTGGCCATACAGCTGGGATAAAGGCCAGTCCATAAAGAGCAATCAGGCAGTGGCACTGGGGCCACCACCCCTGGGGGTGTTCCAGAGTCGTGGGAATGTGCAACAGAGGGATGTGGGCAGTGGGCATGGGGGGATGGGCTTGGAGGGCTTTTCCAAACTCAATGGTTCTACAGTTCTGTGATCCCGCATTTAGGGTTATGCTGGAAAACAAAGATGTCTGGTTTGTTCCATCCTCCTGTAGTACAACCACTACACTCACTTCAGGCAGTAGGGCAGGCTGTGCTGTGAAAGGTTCCTGTGTAACCACAATAACACTGTAAAACCAAACTGGAATATTTGGAGGCAGCTATAGACTGTTAGCTTACATACTATTCATTCAATTTCCAGCTTGTGTCTATTCTCTCTACTCTTCCAACAGATGAGTCAATAGCACTCAGCCATTTTTTGGTAATTTTTTTTTTTGCAGAGTGCCATCACAGCCACTGCTGAATTTGATATCATTGCAAAACCCACATGCTAGCACTATGCCAGGAAGCACAGCTACTGGCACGAAGAAGCTGTCATCTTGTCCCATCTTCAGCCAGGAGGAAATCCAGGCTCAGGAGCAACCAAGTCCTCCAGGCTCCCTTCCTGGGCAGTGCCAGAGGGAACCCACCTTTGTGTGCAATGTATTTCACCCCAACGCGTGGGAATAACAACCCAGGCTGTTCAAAGCAGGGTACTGGGATAAGCCTGCATTTCTAAGGGCTTCCATCAGCAGAGGGCTCTAGAACTACACTCCTTTAGGTATCGTACTCCCTCCCATGATTAATCTGTCCCAGTTTTTTTTTTAGTCAATTAACATGCTGTTCTTATGCTACAAATGTTCTCTAAAAAAAAATTCTCACAGCTGAGCTGTCAAACTCTGAAATTCGGTACATTGGAATGTCAGGTTTTTACAAACTCCAGGACTTTGTTAAAGTATAATCAGAACTTTAATACCCAATTATGCAATCTTAGCAATAATATTCTGAAGAGAATTTTATTGCTTTCATCATAAACTGGGAGTATCAACCAGAACTGTACCAAGTTGTTCCACTCAGAAATACATGGGCTTGATTCTTTATGGAGGGGTTCATCAGATTTCATCTGAAATTGCAGGTGTGAACATATCAACATTGGAAGACTCAAGTATTTGGGCACACTCTCTCCACTCAACAACAATGAACGTCTTTGTTTTTCACTTAGCTTCTCCCATTATTTTGTCTGGTGGTCACAGCTCAATTGCTAACTGCTCACTTACAAAACACAAGGTCGTCTCTGCCTCAGCTCAGTTAGGTTAGCAGATGTTCTTTGAGGGCTAAGATACCTCCCCTGAGCAAGCACAAGGAATGCTAGAAGTCCAAAGACATTTCTCACAGCCTGAAACAAGAGTTAAAAAAACAAACAAACATGGATGAAGCACTAAGCAAAATGTTGGCATCCACCCACTTTCCAAAGTAAGTCTTAGCTGTATAAGAAGTGATAGCCTTTTGACAGTAATTTATAAACAGACACACAGCCCCCATTGTACAATCTGCTCCGGTGACAGTAAGTCTAGAAAGGAGCAGAAACATGACCTAGAGGCAAGACGTTGTAAGATAAAGAGAAGTGAAACATGGAATTTGTCATCCCCAATTGAATTAGCAACACTAAGGTATTTTAATAGGCATGTCTCCAACTATCAAAATCATCTGAACAACCACAACCCGTGACAAAAAGTCCTCTGAAGCAGGTACTCTGCTAATGCCAATCAAAACTGAAACAAGATTCCCACATCAGACTGAACAACAGCTATGCCATGAAGTTCATACCACTATTTGTAGGACTGTTAAAGCACACTCCTTTCCCATTCTCAGTCTCTATGTGGCTTGCCTTCATGTGACTCATAGTAAGCAATGGAAAAGGGCTGCTGTATGAATGTGGATGCCCACATAGAAAAAAATCTCTATGAAGTGTACACTGAATGATACACATCGCAGACCTCAGTGCTGGCTGATCACCAAACACCACCACACGTAAAGAAATTGAAGATTACACATTCACTAATTTACTAAATTTACTCTTTAACTCAGAGGCAAATCTGCTAAGATCAATCAAGTACATTTGTACATTTTTTCATTTAACTCCCTAGTGCCAAAATAAAATATATTCATCCCCTCTATAGCCTTAAAAAAAAAAAAAGGCAAAATTCATCTTCTTGAGACTTGGCTTTAGAGAAACAAAATGATTTTCATAATAATCTAGGTATCTGTTTCTACCTATTGACTGGAAAGCAAAAGTTATCTTTTAACTACTGTCACAAGACATAGGGGAACACCAACAGAGCTGGTATTGTTTACGGATTGAGTGGCTATGCCCGTGAAGAACAGCATTTAAATGTAATTGCTGCAAGGTCTTTCAGTATACTCACTGTTTTCCAACTCTCAGCTGTACTGGTTATGACAGTTTCACACAGTGTTGTCATGCAAGAGAGGGACTTGCAGAAAACTCTTCTGCAGCAGACATTGCACAAGCCAGCAAAAAAAAACGAGGAGCACTTCCCAGGCTTCAGCTTCAGCGCCAGCTTCTAAGCCTCTCGAGAGGTTCACCAATGTGATGGCACGTAACTGCAGAGAGAAAGCATGGAACAAGAATATAAATCTGCTCCAATTGACAGTTGCTAGTTGTTAAAAAAAAAAAATGGTACATTGAGTTGAAAATGAGGACAGACACAATGATGGTTGCAAGATCCAGATAGTGCCCATTATTTTAATGCAAGAGAAAGTAAGAGAATTTGGAGTGGGACATGAGAGCGTCTGGACACTCATGAACAATCAGCAGCAGTCAAGATGATTAGAGAGAAGACATGCAGAACAGCTAATGGCTGTAGGGAAGGGGAACAAAAGCTGAGCATGTGGCTGAGGGAAAGGATTGAGTCAATACAGAAGAAAGAGCAAATTGTAAATTGCAGAGGGATGCAGTGATAGCTCCGCTGACAAACCACGGCACTTTGATCTCATAGCAAGTGCCACAGACCTTTCTATCTCTATAGAGGTGATTACAGTTTTGCTGGGTCAAGTGACATATGGATCAGGACTGCCCACAGTACAGTGCTGTAAGTGCCACTGAACCGCATCAGAAACTGAACATGAACATCTGAATCTCAGCCTGAATGAGGGAAAAAAACATTTGGAACAGCTTGGAACGAATCCCATTTCTCCCTCCCACCAAGGAAAACAGATGGTATCAGAAAGATGAACAACATCCTAACAGTCTATGCTACTGTTGCTAAAGAATAAAAACAGAGAGGCTGAGGAGCCTAGGATGGGAAGGAGCTCTGCTGGTGCTCTGTGACACCTGCTCTGGGTTAAAACCACATCTTTAATTTCTCTCCCAAACTCTTCTACCCAATCTCCAGTCAACAGGTTTCTCCCTTCTAGCAAATCCTACCAAAGCGTTCGCCAAAAGCTTAACTTTTCCTAAGATTCAGACTACTGTTAATAACTGCTTTTAAATTATTCAGAGGCTGTTTATGCCAACTTATTCTTTTGCCGAAATGCTCTTTATAGTTATGAACTTGGTAGAATAGACACAGGACATTCAGAAGAAGCAACAGAAGCTTATAAAGACATTGAAAATGTTCATCCTTGTGGAATCTTTTTTTGATATCTGTCTATCTGAGGTATAAATTAAATATTCTAAAACACAGTTATTCAAACAATTTTTCTTTGGCCTTAATAAAAACATAAATACAGCTATTAAAAAAAAGATGCATGAAATGGCTTCTCTATCACCAAAATGAAGTTGTATATGTCATGGGTCTTTGAGCAACCTGGTTTAGTGGGAAGTGTCCTTGTCTATAGCAGGGGGTTGGAATAGATGATCTGAACTCATACAATTCTATGATTCTATGATCTGAGAGCTCACCTGGCCTAGAAAGACACTGTGGTTGTGGTGTCCTGTAGAATACTAAATACACATACAATATTCCTAAATGTGCTTGTTGCCTGTTCAATGCCAGAAAACTTCCCATGCTATAAAATTTAGTCCCTCCATCCACTTCTAAAATTCTGTGCTTTGTTGTGCACAACTTCCAGCCTGCTATTGACTATGTAAGATGACAGCATTTTGGAACTCAGACTGTTAGCTACTGGCAGCTGCCAAAATCCAGCCAGAGTTGCTTTTAACTTAAAACTTCCTCGATGTTAAAAATCTGAACACAGGAAATACACTCACTTAGAAGGTTGATATTCTACAGTTTAAGAAGTTTCATTAAGAACATATGAAAGTGAGATCTGTGCCTCCCCGAAATACTCAATGACATCCTCAGCATTAAATTACTTCACCTTTCCTGAATGTATTCAGATGTACTCCTGCTCTGTTCTCAGCAAAACCATTGGTGTTTATCAGTTGAGATGTTTTGATGAAAGCTATTAAGTCAGCTCTATTTAAATAAAACTGAAAAGTTGTCAGTATCTTCTAATTAAAGTCCTGCTCCTTTTTGCTCAAAGTAATCTCTAACACATTTATCCATTTGTTTCACTCCTATCAAATCAGACACTGATCACTAATTAGTCCTGTTCCCAGGCTGAAAGTCCTGTGATAAAGCAGGGGACCAATGATAACAGCAACTCTCTTATTCTCTCTCTCATATACTGACCACATCCAGATCTCAGCATTCAGTGTATCAAAGGACCAGCTCCAATTAAGTCCCTTAGGTTACTTCAAACTGGCATGCATAAATGAAAGAGCAAGTATAACTGCGTTCACTAAATTCTACAAGAGAGGCATTTCTGTTCATACACCTGGGCTGATTTCTTTATCATAAAATATTAGGTGGTCTTTTTTTTTAGCTAGAGATATCTATAAAACTAACAAAAGTAACAGGAGAGCATCTGCACCTGCGACTTCAATTTGTGATAAAAACAGAGACAAGGAAATGGCATTCCTCACCCTGCGGCTCCGTGTTCAAACACTGCAGGATGTACTGCACCTGCCCTGCCCCTCTGGGAGAGGCTCTGAGCTCTCAGACAGATGAAGCCAGTCCAGAACTGTGGAGCTCTGTCCCTGTCCCAGAAGCACTGCAACCTCATTTCATGGCCCAGGCAAGCAAAGAGACAAAACCCAAATGACAGGGCTGGGGACACGAGGTAACACGTGGGTACATCTCCTCCCATTAGCTGAAGTCTACAGCCCAGTACGTATCCATCCGTGTTCTGGTGTCAGTCAAACAGCACGGGAGGCTGAAAAATAACCACTTAGTAATTTTATCCAGAAAATTTTATCCAGCAGAGACAGGGAGGTGATTGTTCCCCTCTGCTCTGCTCTTGTGAGGCCCCATCTGGAATACTGCGTCCAAGTCTG